GGAAGCCTAGAAGAAAAAGGGAGAACAGTTGGAAAACTGTAAGATTTCCTGAGCACTTATAAGCTCTTGTATAATCTTTACAACAACCCCATGAGGTAGGTACTATTACTATGAGGAAAGAGACACAGAGAAATTTGACCTAAAAATACCAAAACCAGGCATTCTGACTTCAGAATAAAAGTGAAATTGATCGTATTCTAACTCCATGGAACTAGAACTGAAGTCTAGTGCAGAATGGGGGCTCCTTGGCTTACAGCTGCATGACTTTGGAAAAATCGTTGAATTCTTTGAGCCTCAGCTTCCTCACTTGCAAAGTGTCCTAATTATTTCACGTGGTCGTTTCCCATTCAAAATAATGGAAATGAAGTCATTCAATAAGTTATATAAAGTGCTAAACAGATATCAGAGATCATTAGCCATAACTTCCATAAACTAGGTGACCTTGGGCATTGTTTCATTCATTTAACAAATGTTAATGAGCAAATTCCAAGGACCAAGCTCTGGGGAACAGATAAATGTTTAAGACAGAGTCCCCACTCCCAAAAGCTGCCTGTCTCATGGGAGGATCTAGGGAGCATTCTAGTTTAGCATTCTTAGATTCTGTGTCTGCAGCTCCTTTCTACATGAAAAGTTCCCCCCATGAGTTACTATTCCCAGGTCAGAAAACAAGGGCTCTAGAATGTTAACAGCCATAGGATTCAACTGAGGATCTTGCTAAAATGCAGATTCTGGGTGGACCCCTGAAACTGAATTTCCAAAAAGCCCCCAGGTGATACTGCACAGATCACACTTTCAGTAGCCTCCCCCCCCCCTTTTTTTCCCATTGCTTTTCAAAGAGAGGGAAGGGAGAGAGGGAGAGAGAAACATTGATTGGTTGCCTCCAGCCAGGACCAGGGCCTGGGATCAAGCCTGCAACGGAGGTATGTGCCCTTAGCTGAAATTGAACCCTGGACCCTTCAGTTCACTACTGACGCTCTAACCACTGAGAAAACCGGCTAGGGCCCCCTCCCCTTTAATTTGCTAGATTTGCTCACTGTCGTTTGGGAAGTCACAGAAGGCTTAAAGAGTATAATCTAAAAACCCTTTCAGGAAACTGGTTGGGAAAGATCTCCTTGAGAAAGGGAAGCAAAACCAGTTTGAAGGTAGAGGAGTCCGTGACTCTGACAGAGCAGTGGAAAGCGCTGAGAACCCACCACAAAGTTTTTGTTTTACCTCAGTTGTGACACCATCAAGCCCCAAGATACTCCCAAGAAATCACTATGGCCTGGGCCTGCAACTTAAGTTCCACCTCCCTTTGATGAAGCCTGATTTTCACCAACAGGTTGTGTTATTATTATTGGGTGAGTGCTTGCCTCTTAGCCCGTAATGTGAATTGGAAGGAGGAACTGTGCTATGTAGATTCACATTCCGCCACCGCCTTCTCCATACTCCTTATTTAACGTTCCTTGAAAGGTTTTCACAACTGCAGATTCTCCGGAGGCTGAAGCCCAGGGCTAGCGCACTCCCCACTAACGTCACCAGGGGGCGCGGCGACCCGGGCGACACAGCTACTGTGACCTACAGTCCCCGGGGCGCAAAGAGCTTAGCGGGAGGTCTCCACGGACCCCCTACGACCTGGGCGGGAAACCGAGGCAGCGCCCGGCTGCTGCCCGAGACTTCTACCATGCCCCCCCCTTCGGGAGGCATCACCGGAGCCTGGATGCTTGGAGCTCGGCCCGCCGCCCCTTCCCGGGCGCCCCGGCCGGGGCCGGTAACCAGGCGCACATGGCCCGCCCGGCCCTGTTTGTCCTGGCGGCGCGCCGCCGCTATTTGAGGCGGTTTTTATCTCCCAGAAACCAGCAAAACCCCAAGCGGAGTCTAGGGAAGATGAAAGGGGCCGAGGGGCTGGGGTGGGGAGGGCCGCGGGGCTGCGGCGGGCTGGAGCTGGCACCGGACAGGCGGAGACCGGGAGGCAAGAGGGCCAGGCCCTGGGGGGTCCGGAGGAGCCCGCCGAGCGGGCGGGGGC